GAAGTTTGGGGAGGAAGAAGAGGGGGGGGGAAAGCGAAGATGGAGATGGAAGACGGAGAAGAGGGGGAACAGTCACTATGTTCTGGGTCAGGCACCACCGTGGCACCCACCACCAACAAGATGAAACAGAGAATGAAGAGGATAAAACAGGAAGAGGGGGGGAAGGCCTGAGGAGAGGAAAGGAAGCAGCAGGAGAAGGTCCAGAAAAATAAAAAGAGTGGACGAGAGCAAGAGGGAGAGATAGCGAGAGAGGAGGGGGGTAGAGGGCGGCCGAGGGAAGGGGATGGTGAGTGAACTATGGCGGCGGTCGGAGAAGATACGGACGGGGAGGCATCGAGGCACAACAAGCGAGAGATCTGCGCCAGAGGAGGGGATTGGAAGAACGAGAGAAGAGGTTCGGATAGTGGTGTGGAGGAGGAGAGAAGGGAGGGAGAGGAGGTTGTTGAAGGTTGAGAGGGATGAGGAAGAGGAAGAGGAAGAGGACGAGGACGAGGAAGAGAGAGATGGGGAAGATGGGAAGATGGGAAGGTGATGGGAGGATGGATGATGGATGAAGGATGATGGGTGAGGCTGACAGCAACAGTGATGATGGTAGCCTCAGGAACATACATCCATCTTACTTATCAACACCACCACCTCACCTTAATTTGACTCTGTCGCTCAACTACGAATGCTCTGCAATTATGAATTCTTGCACCTGCTCGACAACTACCATTCTTCAATTATTGAACATGACTTTTGTTCCCTAAACCCAGATTATCTTCTTGTCTAGCAACACTCTCATCTTGTCCATAATGATATCGGATGAGGTCCTAGTCAGTCCATCCATCTTTAATTAGGCAGAAAGGTCCACCCCTGTCAATGGCCAAATCAATCCATTGCGCTTGATACTAGATGCGCACCTATTTGATACTCTTTGGTAGACCCCATTCGATAAGCTATTAAAATGATCAATGACTAGTGGCTTTGCCGGAAATTCATCATAAATGATTACCTGCGCCGGTCTATATATAAATACCATGGTAAGTTTTAGGTAACGCAGTAAATTCCCCACTAGTCCGCACTGACAGCTACTGATGAACAAGTTCCGGGTTCTTCACAGTCCACAAGTCAATGCGATCACATTTTCTGTCGCAGGGCTCGTACCGTTCATAAGTTGGAGTTTAAAAATAGATTTCGTTCCTGTCCTGCTCGAACCATCGCCGGATCGTCGGACTGGTGCCTATTTATCCAAGATTCAAGACATCTAGTTGTCTGAACTACTCACTCACACTACACACACTCAGCCACAACCATGACTTACCATCTTGAGGCAGCGACCGCCCATTCACCACATTGCTCCTTCCTTGATTCATGCTGTATCTCTCACTCAGTACTTTCCGCAGACTAGATGATAGTATACCTAGGAGATAATCTCACCTGGAAAAAAATGGGATTACTATGTAGCACAAAATACCCCCCAGCCTAATCTCACATCGGAAGTTGAATCCGAACATCCCCCAAGAAGAACGAGGTAAGAATCACACCAGATAATCGATATCCTCCAAGGTAGAGCCATGATCCGATACAAGCCCACTCGGATAACCCTCGGAGACGGAGACCTACGCTATCACCTCCAGCGGCTTCTCAACCGCCATAGTCGCCTGGCGGAATGGCACCAACACGATCAATTTCTGAATGACAGCAGCTTTGATGATGGCGAGGACAATGCATTTCTTGAGTCTGACTCGGACCTCTTCTCCGCACCGTCCGTGTCGCCGCCAGATTCTGTTTGTTATTCGGCTCCAGACGAGGCTCTTGAAGACGGCTCGTCGCTGCGTGGCAGAGGAGGAGGAGGAGGAGGAG